CGGAGAGAAATCAGAGTTAACATTTTGGGTCCAGAACACTTCCTCACGACAACCATCAGTTGTGAAGAAGGGTCACTGATTCAAAACGTTAACTCTGATTTCTCTCCGCAGATGCTGCCAGCCCTGCTGTGCCTTTTCAGCAATTTCTGCTTTTGTTCCTGAACTTAATTCTTCTTCTGCCAAACTATTCTCTTTTTCTAATTTTAGTTAGGAAGGGCATTGAGAGATGCTGGGTGAAAAGTTGGTTAAAATCAGACACAGGGTTGAAAATATACTGGGAACTAGAGGCAAATGCAATGGGCATAGTTCTGACGAGCTGCAGATATCAATTGGAGACAGAGAGACAGTTTGATGATCTGATGTGGCCTAAATTGGGCCAGTTACCTCATTGATAGAGGCCTCATGTAGGTGAACCAGAGGGGTATGTGCATGGCAGCTCTGTGGGTTATAGGTCAAGGAGTACATTTTCCCCTCCCCTGGACTCCACGTGATGGCTAAAAAAAAAATCAAGATGAATTATTTTTTGGCGGTTGCTAGTTAGGCCACAGCCATCACTACAAGCTGCAAGTTGTGTTCTTGTGATTAATGCAGCTTACAGGGCTCAGGTGTTACGCCAATTCTTAACATAAACGAAAGCTCTTATGCTTGTTTCCAGGTTTTGTGCAAGATGTTGAATATTGCTCAAAGCCAGTTAGCTGTTAGACATATTTCAAAAATCTTTGGAATGCAAGCGATTTAGGGGAAAGTTGATGAATACCCAGATGGACTATATAACCCAAGTTTCTGCCAAAGTTCCAATATCCTCAGACAAGACCTTCCAAACCCACAAACACTTCCATCTAGAAGGACAAGGGCAGCAGATATATAGGAACACGACCACCTTCAAGTTCCCCTCCAAGCCTTCACCATCCTGACTTAGAAATATATTGCCGTTCCCTCTCTGTCGCTGGGTCAAAATCCTGGAATTCACTCCCTAATGGCATTGTGGGTCAATCCATGGCAGGTGGACTGCAACAGTTGAAGAAGGCAGCTCACCACCATCTTCTCAAGGGCAACTAGGGATGGACAAGAAATGCTGGCCATCCAGCAACACCCACATCCCACAAAAAAAAACCTCTGATTAGAGAAATTGGCAATATTAATTTTGAAACTGTACTCTCTAGTACTTGAACCTTTTACGTTGTGACATTTTTAACCTTGGTCAACTTTTTCAGTTCCATTGAGAAGACTGAGCATTTCATAAGAACAGGAGTGGGCCAGTCATCACTTTGCTCCTGTTCCCTTATTCCATTAGATCCAGGTTGATCATTGTTTCAATTCAGTTCCTCCATATCTCTCAGTGCCCTTTCCCAATGAAAATAAAAATGTATACTTTGGCCGAATAAACATTAAGTTCAGCTAGGTCACATGAAAAGTTATCGCCGGATAAAACCTTACCTTATAGTTTAAATATCTGAAAACCAAAATTCTTTTCTTGCTTGCCTGACTACTGTCTCTGGGACAACAGTATCCTTCCTACAATTAAGATCATTAGCTATACTACTTGTTCTTCTGGAATTTAGGCAAAATAGAATGTGTGCTCTCATAGGAGATTGTATATTATTATCAGAATATGTGGCCAGATGCTTTGTGGAGCCAAACATAGCAAATAGCTGTACTGTCTCTTGCTTTTTCCAGTACTGTTCAGAGGGACCAGGTTAAATAGTATTAATTTTAATTAGATGATCTTATGTTACTTAACAATACTCCTTCCAATTAAGAAGGATAATTCCAATTACCTGATTTGGTGAAACAATTACAGATAAGATAATTCCATCATCCTCATCTGCACTGTTGGGAGACGGCACAAAGACTGGCTCTGATGGATAGTACCCTTTTTCTTTCCAGGTCTGCGAAGAAGAAAAAGAAATAAAGACCAATTTACTGTAATACAGTGTTGCTGACATACAAAGTTGTCCCAAGACACTTCACATGGGCATAAGGAAAGATATTGGATGATGAATCAAAGAAAAGAATGACCTGTTTATTTAGCACATTTCACTATGTCAAGACATTGACAATTTTTTCAGAACCAATTACTTACAAAGTACAATTATTGTTTTAATATAGGAAAGCTTGGCTAAAGAGATAAGTTTTAAGGCGAGCTTGAAAATAGTAGATAACGGCAGAGAGGGATTGAAGAGGGAATTCCAGACCTTGACTACATGGGTTGTGAACAACAGTCACCAATGTAAGAAAATGTGGATCAGCAAGCGCTAGGAGATGGGCTAGTGGGAAAACACACAAAGAGGTTTGGATGACCTGAAAATTACAGAAGAATGGACTGTCAATCAGGAAAGTGATGGAATGTGAAATCTGAAAGTGACATCGGAATGGATGAGGATTTCAACATCAGATGGGCTCAGGAAAGAAGTAAAGTGAAATTTAAGTAGGAGTATTAACAATGGAGAGGTTGGTGGGAATTTCAGATATTTGAATGAAAGAAACAATTGCTCACCCAATAATGGATGTCAAACAAGTGGTCTGACAGCAAAAGTACAATGGTGGGATTGAAAGAGGTTCAGAGTAGTAGATAAAGAAATGGAGGTGACAATGGCAGATGCTTGATGGCAATCAAGATCAGAAGAGGAGCTATCAGCAGAGCTATCTGGTGACTACTGAAGAGGAACCAATGAACTGAAACCCAACTGAAAGCAAACTCTTCAGCTGGATAGGTCAGACAG